CGCTCGTAGAATTGTTTTCACATGAAAAGCTTTGTCTCTTTTTAGACGGTTTAGTGCTAGACTTTTGGAATATTAATTTTCATAATTTCTTCACCGATCAATATGTATGAAAAGGGAAAACTGTGAAATTATTTTCGCTATATGTTGGCGACATGATAACGCGATCACAGAGCATTTACATGTGTATGCGAGAGTGCAATTCTTATCATCCGGCTTCCGACAGACGATTGAGGTGAAGGTTTACATTTATTATAAGAGATATATTTACATATAATTAAAACATTAGAATGTGATTTACTGAGCAGTGTAATGAAGTGTTTTAATGTGCGATTTTTTTGATAAGTTACTACGGGCTTGATAACCGAAAAGCATAAAATTGAAGGAAAATAATAATTAATACTATTATATTATATTATTAATTTAGTAATTGATATTATTTTAATATATTTTAATACACACCGTTTATTTTTTAAACGCGATGTAGATTATATTTTCATGTTATATGTTGTGCATAGAGAGTGCAATAAAAAAATTGATATGAATTTGGAGACTTAAAAGATGATTTTAATAAACAAATTATTAATTACAAAAAGATGCACTCCATATGATTTTATAATTACATGACCATATAATTTGCACTCAAGAAGTTACATAATGAACTTTGCCTCCGCTCTATTAAACTTGGATATCACGCGCCATGAAGATCCAGATTCATTAAAAATCTTATCAGCCGCTATCATTCGAGTCTAGCCAATACATCTTTTTGAATTTTTCTATATTATGTCGTGCGATATTTTCTGCAAAAGGCTGTATATTGGAGAGAAATTATTTATTAAATCTTAGTATTATTCTTATAGATTTCTAAATTATTTTTTATACGTGCTACAGGCTGTTATCGAAACACAAACTGTGTGCAACACGAAATTTAGCTCGCGTTTATTCGCGATTGCTTCCCACGTGATAAACATTGATATCATACCCGTAGTTCGTATTTAACACGATATGAATCTCGCGTTGCATACCGAGAGTGATGCCGCTCGCATTTCGCTTAACGCATGCTTCGTTATCAAATTGAACTGATTAGCGAGCTTCGATATGAAATATTTTCTGTCATTAGTGGTCAATAAAAAAATAATTAAATGACATAAATGAATATGAAACCCATAATAACAAAATAAAATGATAATACGATTACAAAATAAAATATTAATTAAATTCCATTATTAAATAAATAGGTGGAGCTTGGCTTTCTATTCTATTAGCATGAAATTAATAAATGTATTATTTTTTTAGACATTTTTATACTCACATACTTAAGTGTCGCAAACTAAAGTGCCGCTTCTAAAATGATTACAATTGTCACCAGGTCGATAGGTCAATTGCGCATTTTAAATCACATTTACTATGAGCATGATTGACCCTTGAAGACCGAGGATCTTATAATTGTTATCCAATCAATCTGCCGCTCTCGCGATCTAAGCGAAATCGAATCTTGATTAATTGATAAGCACTTTTGCGATACAAAAACAGGAAATTGTATTAATACATTTTCGACACATACTCGAGTTAAGGATTAAAGGAATTAAAATTGGAATTTGAAGGTTATTAAGATTATTATCTCTAATTTATCACAAACGATAAAAATTATTATTAAAGTTGTTATATTATTGTTATCATTTATTTATTTTTTATTACTAAGAACTGTATTATCTTTTTTTTTATGCTTCTAGAGATTTGAATAATTTTATATATATTTATATTGCTATAAAAATGATTGTGTCTAAAAAAAAGGACATTGGAAATTCTGATACGTTGGCATCGATACTCTTATCATGTTAACATCGTGCACGGTAACCCGAATTGCTCGACAAGTCGAGTCCTTTTATTTTTAGCCGCGTCACTGGCTCGCTTCCCAGATTTTCCATCAATAACAATGTTCTCATTTAGCCATTCAAAGTGAAAAAATATTGCTTGCATATTTATCGCGCTTTATACATTATTCTTCAAAAGATTACAATACCAAATTATGCGACATTCACAAAGAAAAAAAAATTTTTTATTTAAAAATTATATTTTTACAATTTTTTTCACATTTTGCTTACATCTTTTTTTTACATCGAGCTTGATTAAATTTTGGTCCAATTTAATCAAGCTGACAAAAAATACAATAGATCGATTGACATGTTGCATCGATTTTCGAGTTGTATGAAGGTCAAGGTCGCGGATTGCATTCGAGTGCAGGTTTCGTTAAATCATGCCCTCGTGCGCATTACCACGTGCTTATATAAAAATTGCAGATAGCGTGCGTTATCGGACGGATGATAAGAACGCGCGACGATCTTTGAACGATCTTTGAACTAAGATCCTCGAATTTAAAGGTGCACCGCGATGATAAGCGACAAAAGGCATACTTTGCTTCTTTTTTGTCAATTTTAAGAATGTTTTTTTCTCTTACGATTATTTAAATGTAATTTAAATTCATCTACGGTTTCCTACGAATTTGAATATGCTATTTCGCATTGTGTTATTTTCTGTTCTCTTCTTGACTTTGTTCCGCGCTTTGCGTAAATTTGCATTTCCTTTCCAACTTGTTTTTTAAGCTAAATAACTTCGTCAGCGTTCTCATTTCTTTTTTTTTGTTTCATCACGTTAAATATGAGCCTCGTCAAATAATTTTCAATGTTATGCAATGTTATACATTTTTTAATTAAAGTTTTATTGCACTGCAATTGTGAAAGATATACATATATAACAAAGAAAATTATAGAAAAAGAAAAATTAAAACTAATGGAAGAAAAAACGCGCTTCAACACTGCGCTTCCGTAGACTTTCAATAACAAGCCGGTAATTTTTAAGATAAAATCGATAATTTACAATGTAAATTTTACATGTAATTTTTAATGTAACCATTCTGCCGAGTTATTTAACATTATATAATAATTTTTAAATGTATGCTTTATTTAACATTTTAACAATCGCACGTTTTATACAAGTACTTTCGCCTTCATCGGTATTTTTTTACTTATTGTTAGAAATTATGTCTACGTGACACTTTAGCACCGTCAGACTGTTAATTATTGAAATATTTATTATTTACAATTACGTAAAAATTTGTCTCTTATGAAAAGTGTAATATATATAAAAATTTTCGTATTGTTTCTTAAAATCTTGAAGATATTCACTGTTAGAATAATTATGAAACATTCACTATTAATTAAAATTTTGAATCTGCGCTTTGAATTAAAAAAGCGTATTGCTTACCGTAACTTCTCGACATTGCTTCTTGACGCTTGGCGCTTCACCTTGAGTTAATTATATGCAAAGTGTCGTCAGGTGTTCGTAAAGTATACGTCAAGTATATACACGCGTCAAAGCAGCTCTGTCGTTTTGTGAGAAAATTTTGTTTTTTTGAAAAAAATTCTTACGTGACGTCCGATGAAATGTAGATAAAACCGAGACGAGTGTATCACGCGTCTTTTGCTTTACTTGGAGAAACAGATATAAAACATATCATCTCGGATCTCCATATCTGGTGAATATGCCGGAATCGAAGTCACGAGGCTCACCAGTGTCCAAGCACTTGAACACGCGTGCTTCCATACGTTCCGATTACATTATATCCATTCATGTCTTCATATTTCTTTTCTTATATTAATAAATATATATATAAATTTATTTCTTTTTATCAATTTTTTAAATTATTTATTTTTATTTCTAATAGTATTTAATTACTTTTATTGATATTAGTATTATTATTAGAAGCATTGCTCTACTAATTTATATTCGTTATTATTATCAAATTTTTATACTTGACGCATTGAGATGCGCAATAGTTTATATAAAGCTTCCCAAAATTTTACGCCGCCTTCAGGGTACTTAAACTTACGTATTTACTTTGAAATTAGAGGTTTATCACATTCGATCAAATGATAATGATAATTAATATTTTACGGAGGATAAAAGAGGATAAGAGAGAGAGAGAGAGAGTTACCGTGGAAGGTAAATTTTTTCGTTTCCGCGAAAGCGGCACGTTCCACATTTGATAATGACCTCCAACGTGTGACCACACGACCTCGCTGTTATCTGAGTTCTCATGACGTTCGATGGTGCGTATCGTGTTTACGATACGATTTACGATTTTTTTTCCCCGTCACAAAGGTTGATTAGAAGTTTAACACAAACGTAATCTCCCGTATAATTCTTGAGTAACATACCGCACATACAAACGTAATTATTATATTCTGTCGAAAAAATTTTTTACGGCAATCAATTTATGTGATTTGATGACAAAGAGAAATTAAAACATTATCTTTTAATTAATCATAAATTTGTAATTTTTAACAAATTTTGCGGGAATAAATAAAGAGAAAATTGAAACGTGAAAAATGTATTGAGATATGAATAGCATCTTTTTTTCAAAAATTATAATAAAATCTGAAATAAAATTCTTCTGTTATAAGATATAAGACGTCAATTTCGATAACAAATTGCAGTTGTGTTTTTACACAACTTATTTTGAACAGCTTATTTTTAAGAATCGTTTCCTGTCATCTTAGAGTTATGACATTTGTAATTTGTTAGCGCACGAGCCTGAAACATTCGCGTGCTCCATTGACAGTACTATTGTTAACGAATTGTCTCTTTTACGTAATGCGCGCGCGTCTTCCGGCGTGAATTTTTCACATAACTCTATGTCAGGCGTATGAAAGGCGTATTTTGTCAAAATACAAGATAAATAAAAAATTTATAGACTGAGACATAATTTAAGAAAGAGTTTTAAAAATCTACCTAAAATATTAAATTTATGTATATTAAATACTAGATATGTGTAGAAAACTCTAAAAATTATATAATTTTATAGTTGGAATTGTATGTTTTAATTGTTATTTAACAATACTTAAACAGGTCTCATTTGTTTTTATTTCTGAGATAATCGATTTTTAATGTGTTCTGCATTTTGTATCGACAATCTTTTAACATAACTTTTTTCTTTCTTTCAGAAAATAACATCGGCGGTTTTCTCACGTCAGTTGACCGATGCATCGACGGATCTTAAGAAAGTTCTCATCGACAGGATTCCCAAGGAGCAGGAACGTGTGAAAGCATTCCGTAAAAATCATGGATCCACCAAAGTCGGAGAAGTCACTGTTGACATGGTATATATTTTATTGTTATATTCTTTCTGAATAATGAATAAGATTCTCGGAAGTTTAATCGGATAGTTACAAAAGTTGCCTCTTATTTAGTTATTCATTATTTTAATTATTTTGAAAACTGATTCGACTTTTATTTTACTTTTATAAGTTTCTTTCATTTTTTATAATAAGAAAATTAAGAGAAAAATATCACTGTTCTCTTTAATTGTAATTAATATTTATAATTAACTGCAATAATCCATAAAAAAAATAGTTAAGTCTGTGCTACTGAATTTCAAGAACACGATCGTTCGACTGATCGTTCGCACGGAAGGGGAAGACCCAGTGTGATATGACGAGTCATTTTTTTGTGTTGGAACTCAGATGATATATGTCTGATAAATACCACGCATTGATCGCGGGACCGCGTGCTTACTATGTGATCGTGATAACCGTAGCATGCATTGACAATTTCTATCGGCATTAATATCGGCATTTGCGATTTTTTTCAGCATTATTAAGCAATGTATTTTTTTTGACTGAATGCAGCGCGTGGTGATTAATTATCATCGGATGAGTCGCGGGTGATGTTTATTTATAGCTAATCTTGTTTCGCAATCAATTAACGCTAATATCATTGTCACGTCTTTTTTGCAAATATCTGGGATAGATTAAGCTGTAAAAATGCTATTAATGTTAATTACTGGAAAATACTTTAGCTAGGTTCTCGATAATACAATATATAGAATTGATCTTGCATTTATCAATGAGTGATTTAGACATTAATTAAAACAACCTGAAGATAACTAAAATTCTTCTGGATAAACAAAGTTATTTTACATAATGAGAGAAAGTTTAATTCAATATTTACGCATAAAAGTCACTTTTCATTCTTCAGAGTTGATATACTTTTCTCTGCTCGTAGATGTACGGCGGTATGCGCGGCATCAAGGGGCTCGTTTGGGAGCCCTCAGTGCTCGATCCGGAGGAGGGTATCCGCTTCCGCGGCAAGTCGATCCCCGAGTGTCAGAAACTCCTACCGAAGGCGGCCGGCGGCGCCGAGCCGCTGCCGGAGGGCCTCTTCTGGCTGCTGATCACCGGCGACGTGCCCACGGACGCGCAGGTGAAAGCGATCTCGCAGGAATGGGCGTCCAGGAGTTCCCTGCCCGACCACGTGGTCAAGGCCCTCAACAATTTCCCCAAGTCTTTGCACCCGATGACGCAGTTCTCCGCGGCGATCACGCTGTTGAATAGCGACAGCGAGTTCGTCCGGGCGTACAACAAGGGCGTGCACAAGAGCAAGTACTGGGAAAGCGTGTACGAGGACTCGATGAATCTGATCGCCAAGCTGCCGGTGGTGGCCGCCACCATTTACCGCAACATCTACAAGGGCGGCAAGGGCTTGGGCTCGGTGGACAGCGGTAAGGACTGGTCCTGGAACTTCGCCAACATGCTTGGCTACGACAATGCGCAGTTCATCGAGCTGATGCGTCTCTACTTGACGATCCATTCGGATCACGAGGGAGGTAACGTGTCCGCGCACACCACCCACTTGGTGGGATCCGCCTTGTCGGACCCGTATCTGTCCTTCGCCGCCGGTATGAACGGTTTGGCCGGGCCGCTGCACGGTTTGGCCAATCAGGAAGTGCTGGTCTGGCTGGAGAAGCTGCGCGGCCAGGTCGGCGACGCCCCGAGCGACGACAAGCTCAAGGAATTTATCTGGAACACGCTGAAGAGCGGCCAGGTTGTGCCCGGTTACGGACACGCCGTTCTCAGAAAGACTGACCCAAGGTACACCTGCCAGAGGGAGTTCGCGCTCAAACATCTGCCGGATGACCCGCTGTTCAAGGTGAATGTTCTGGATAGTTTTTGCACGAAATAGGAGAAGGATAATTAAAGCACAGATCGGTTTAATATATCTTTTTTTATTTAAGAATATTACAGTCGGAAAGATTGCTCTTGAAATGTTTTATTCCATTCGACGTTGTACTTTCAATTACAATTGTATATCGGGCGATTTCAAGGAAAACATTCCACGTACTCTTTCTGTATATTTTTCCGTATATCGTCGAGATGAAATTTATGTTATTTTGATAACGATGTTTCTTCTCTATACAGCTGGTCGCTCAAGTGTACAAGGTGGTGCCGCCGGTCCTGCTGGAGACCGGCAAGGTGAAGAATCCGTGGCCGAATGTGGACGCGCATTCGGGCGTGCTGCTGCAGTACTACGGCATGAAGGAGATGAACTACTACACGGTGCTGTTCGGAGTGTCGCGTGCGTTGGGCGTGCTCGCTTCCCTGGTGTGGGATCGCGCTCTAGGACTGCCCATCGAGAGGCCTAAATCCCTCAGCACCGATCTCCTTATGAAGGCCGTCAAGGCTTAAGAATTGTCCGTCTGTCAATCTGATCGCCAATCGTTGTCATTGTCGTCTTGAAGTCTCGTCGCTTCGATCTCGACTCTGTTCGGGCATCGACAGTGATACCGAGAACTTGGATTACGATACATTTTGATACCGACGGAACCACCTCAACGAGTCCACGCCTTATTGAGTGAATAGGAGAGAGCGAAAGTATGAGAAAATGAGAGGGAGAGATAGAGAGCGCGAAAGAGACAAGGCTAGGTATTAGAAACGACAAATAATTACGTCTTAACAATGTATTATCTAAATGTAGAATTATTAAGAGCAAACACATCAATATTCCTCCGCGTCAACGAGGCTTCGTTCGCGTCAACGTTCGCCTCGTTAACCCTCTTCCTACCATCGATACTGTTAAGTATAATTAATTACAAATAAACGTTTTAATTATAAATAATATAATTGTTAACATAGCTTAATAATTAATACAACTGTTTCAAATTGCTTACTTAAAAAGTATTGATCGTGGGAAGGGGTTGAATTGGGTGCAGTTCATACACTTATACATTTAGAGTGTATACACGTATACTCTTTATTCAAGTTGCTTTTGCATCCAAACAAAAGCGTAACTTGATATAGTAGTGGAAACTGCCAAATCCGCGAGGAAACTTAAGACAGTGCAAAAATTCAAGAGATAAATTCTAGGAATTTAAATACTACAATTCTTTTAGAGACGTTTAAGTAGATTTTTAAATGTTTCAAACGTCAAAAAGAGAGCATGTGTTTTTGGATTTGAAGCCACGCGCATATACACAAACACGAGATACAAAAGAGGCATCGGAAATAGATAAGGCATTATTGTAAATATAGTCATCGCTCAATACTCAGGCTGAGTTCTACTTGGCGATCGCAACGCTCGTGAACATTATCTATCTTTTTTTAACTTTCGATGAAAACAAAGATAAAATGATTCCACAAGCGTTGCGATCGCCAAGTGGAACGTACCTTCAATAACACGTTAACTACCGCTAGGAAATTGTGAGAAAGGATCGGTTGCATTAACGCGAAGTCTGCGGCGATGGTCAGCGTGTTAGCGGTAATCTCAGCGATACAACGGCAGTGCGAAAATAGCAACTCCTAACTCAGCGGTAGATTTGTAGAATCGCGTAAAAATCTCAGACGCCGTTAAACGTCCAAGATCTGCTCAAGCGTCTGGAAAACGGTACAATGAAATGTCGTTCAGACGACATTCGAGTGTCTGTGACTTTCGCGTTGTCTGAGGCCGATTAAAATTACATAGGAATCAATAAATTAGGAATCTTATAATGTTATTATTGTCTTGCCTCGACATTCGAGAAATACACTGCCCTGAGAAAAGCATCACAGATTTTTTTTTTTTATAATCAGGTAGATTTCTTGAAAACGATCAATTGTCGAATGACGGAAGCGCTGTCAAATTTTCACGAATAGAGAATAGAGATTTCAAGACAATAGTTGGCATCAGTACGCTAAGCGCGAGCATGCGGTGCTACTTAGTTGAGGCACAAGTTCTCTGGCCGCTAGTTTACTGTACCATCTCCCTCAGGAAGCCCATAATTAATTATTCTTAGAACGGCGAAAGTGTCGCTGTAGTTGCGGAATACTTAAGAGCGAGCAATGATGCAGAGTGATCAATAAGCACTTAAAAATAGCGGGTACAGCCCTGTCGGACGGACGGCCGACACGGTTACCTAATCGTACTCGATCGTAGCGAGTCGCCGCGGTTCATGCGTAAAATTAAGGAGTATGACCAGTGATGAAGTCACTGTTACGAGAATGAATGAATGTGTGCACACTTTATTTATAACAAACGCGAAAATAAATGGAAAATTACAGATAACCGGCTGGAATCACTCTTCCTTCGTGCCACGTAATGTCGTAGGATTCACAGAAAATGTATTCGTCAACGCTAAAAATGCTCGATTTAAAGGAATCCACTTCTTTTTATTAATTTGCATGTTGATGTTAGATTTCCTCTTTATTGATAAAACATTTGAAAGAGATGGTGCCAATCGTTTTTTAGGAGAAGAGGTGAAATTGGGAAAAAGGAGACAATTATCGCAGTAGAGTGATAGAGCAGATTTATATGTTCCTTACTGATAGAAACTGATTTAATTTATTTGACATCGCATATTTTAGCTTTTGTTATTATTTAATAAAATTGTACAGTACTCCCTGGCTTATACAATATACTTAGATGACCAATAAATCACATATAACTGGTTTTTCATTATTTTGATAGATTTGACAGGCGTCGGGCCGTATAAAGAGTCCGTGAAACTCGGCATGAATTACACTTTTACGCGTGTACTCGCTCCGTCAACATCGACAATTTTAAAACAACCTATGTCTTGTACTTTACATTTTCAGAAAAATTTTTTTTACACAAGTATAGTTAAATAGAGAAGACGGACACATTCCGAGAATAAATTCGCGACGGGCAAAGATTCGACGTAACACCCCGCGTAGAATTTCGAGGAGCAAACAATATACACGTGATACGGGTTCCTTGTGTCATCGACATTTAAGAACTCATTTCTCAATATGAGAAAGAAGCTAGTATTAACTTTTGTGTAACTTTAAACGTTAGGATCTCACTCTTGGCATTAGACGGCATTTACAATCCTCGCGCGGTGTGATGTCAACAATTTCCTGTACAGTAATCTTTGTTTGTACCCGTTAATCGATAGTCGGCACTGATATATAACCGCTTCCTTTTCTTTTTTTTTTTTAATGCTAAGATAATTAATTACACCTATTGGAATATTTTACGTTACATAAAAGATAGATGTTACATTTATGATTGAAATAAAACAGAAACGAGACAGCTGTCGGTTGGAGGCAAGGTAAATCTCTCACGTTACAATTTCGACTTTTTCCATCTTCGCTCTAGCGTGCAATAATCACAGCTGGATGGAGTTTGAAAAATGAACTTTCTTAAACTGTTAAAAACTTGCATCTTCAATAATCAGTTATAAATAAAAAATTACAATAATTACAAACATTTATCTTAGCTAACATAATTACAGTATGTCAACTAGATTCAGTAAATGCGTTCTGGTTGTCAGAGAAAAATTTAAATAGGATAAATGGAGGCATATGCGATTGAGGAAGAAAGCGAAAGTGAGTTTATAAAACTTCCATTCACCTGTGTCGATTACGTGCTGCATGCTGAAGAATATTACAAACATTTATTGAAACTTTATCAGCGTATTCTTTGTTTCTCTTCTTGTGTATCACGCAAGTCGTACCTATTACGTGATCTATCCAGTAAACAACTGTCTCAGAATTGAATCCATATATCACAGAGCAATTCGTATTCTGCTGTATGAAAAGATCTCATCAATCGGATGATCTTGCTGTGAAATCCGCTCGGGCGCTTACGTACGGAAACGTCGTAAAATCTGTGCTTCCCCCCCTAATCGTTATTTTTTTTCTTTCCTTTTCTACAGAACTCGCTCTCTTTTAATGAGAAGTATAAAAAACTATGTACACAGGTGCACTTCCATTGCGCTCTTATACTTTAACTGAGTACAAATAACGAGTTGCCTTCTTTAGTCTATTTTTACTGTCTGTTCACTGCAGAATGCAGGTGGACGGGATAAGAAATCTCGCACTTTCGATATATAAAATTTACATAAGCAATTAATGAGATTTCCCTTTTTTCTTCAATTCAAGCAAATCAATTGAATCTACGACTCCATTTGATGATTTGATTTAATTATAGCAATCAACCAAGTGTGCATTTCGTATATAATCTAACAGCGAAAAATTATTATCTCATTGTACGTTTAAAATTTTGTTTCCTATCTTTCCGTTTGCACTTTTTTCTTGTAGTTTTCGTATTTATTATTGTAAGGAAGAAAACGTTTTATATTAAGCAATTATGAATAGCAATTAATATTAAACGTTCTTTTTATCGCGCAATTTACAGTGCGTTCGCGTTTTGCCGCACAAAGAACAGCTAAAGAACAGGCTTGCCCGTCCACCGTCCGTTAAGTATTCGCTGTAATGATGTGATCGGATGCACTTTGAGGGTCATACCAAAAGATTTAACTAATGACTAATGAAATGCGATAATTCGTACTACTCTCTTCTTTCGTATAACCGTCAAAGTGTGCGGCTCTAAGATAACTTACTTTAATAATATATTTTACATTTTGGATATTTCGTTAGACTTATAATCGACTCTCATAATGTACGTCATGTCTTTTTTAAACGTCCGACAATCCATTCGAGTCCCTGGTATAACCTGAAATATTTTTTTTCAATTCATTATCTCTTTCTTTCTTTTCTCATAAAAAAAAAATAACGCGTAATTGCTATTATCTTACCCTTCTCCTGTAAGAGCGCAACAGCTCTGTATATGCCACTGATGCTTTTTGATAGACGTTAGATCCAACTGCCTGGAAATCTCAGCCGCAGTCATGCTGCCTTTCAAGTCTTGCTTATTTGCATAGACCAACACATTGGCCTTACTTAATTCCTCATGATTTAACATAGAGTACAACTCTTCTCTAATCATGCCAAGTCTCTCACGATCAGTACTGTCTATGACCATAATGATAAATTCGGTGTTTGTGTAGTAGGTGGACCAGGCAGCTCGCAAGCTCTGCTGGCCACCCAGATCCCACATGATAAAGTGAATATTCTTCCACACTACTTCTTCCACATTGGATCCGATAGTCGGAGATGTATGGACGACCTCGTTCATCAGGAACTGGTACAATATAGTCGTCTTTCCAGCATTATCCAGACCAACCATAACTATTTTATGTTCTGGAAGTAATCAAATTTTTATTATAGTAATTACTACAGCTGAAACATTTTGCAAAGATTTATGATGGGTGTCGTAAAATTTTTTATTGCAGGCTATTAATAGAGGAATGACTGGAAAACAAGCTTGAAAGTAAAAACTTGTGAGAACAATAGAGGCAACACCAAATGGCTGAATTCAAATGAGGTTAATATGAATTTTGTTACATCAAATAATCGCTGAGAGATTAATGGTGAAACGCAAGATTATTGATACACAAATTACAATATAAGAAATATGAATTTTAGTAGAAGACACAATAGCGGAGTAATTAAGATTACATAAAGAATACAAAGAAAAGAAATGAGAAAACAACGATTGTCCAAACAACTTCAATTTGATCAATTTTATAGCAGGCAAAAAAATTCTATGAAATATAAAATAATTAAAACTTTTATTCTAATGATATAAAATCATTAAGCATAAATTTTTGTACAAAGAATCTTTTTTCTTATCATCAATGTTACAATATGTAAAAGTATAATAAAAAAATAAAAATTCACGATTGGTCAAATAATAGCATATGTTAACAGATTAGAAAGTAGGCCGATGGAGTTTCTAGTCTGTACAGTTATTGTGCAATTTTTCAGCCAATTTGACACCAGAATTTTGACAAAATTGACAACTCAAAAAAGACACTTAAAATAACATTTGAGTAAATTTTGAAAATATTTTACTAGAAATTTATAGGCCTAGAACACATCCAAGCCATACAACGAGTTCGACGTCAGTTGAACGTCTGGATATCTATTCGATTCCCTTAATTAAATTGTCGGATCAAAGATCGCGAACGACTGACGTCCTCGAAGCGTACAGTGATTCTCTCGCACGTGTTATCACAAACACATACAGTGATTGCATAAAAAGAGAAAGTGACGGAAGAGAGACGAGTAATGAGCAATTTAATCACCTTCGTTGCCGAAGAAGCTCCACAACTTCGCGAATAGTAGGCCCATGATGATCTCAGCCCCGGGCTAGCTGGATATTGGTTCAATGTCACAAGCCCGCCGTCTCGTTCGCAATTAGAATGTCTTGGAAGCAGGGCGGTTCATTGTCTCAGGGTTATGTTCACCTTCGCGATAACAAAAGATCAAGACACACAGGAGACCGATTCGCAGATAGACGTCATAATCGCGGCAACACATCGACAAACACTGACATTCGTGAGTCACTTCAGCAAATTAAAATTACGATGGATGAAAGATAAGTATTGCGGAGATGCGGACAACCTAATTCGATCAAGTTGATGCGCGACACAGCGCGACATCAATCAGCACACCCTGAAGGCAGTGCTATTGTGCTCGCTCCATAGCTTCGAGTCGTTGTCGTTAGTCGCGCTGCTCTTAATTCGAGTCTTTGTCGCTCTCTAGCGGTACTACGTTCTACTTGAGACATAACTTTAAGTTTTTACCGCTAGTTGCGGTTTGTTCGACTTCCAATCTTTGCCGTAGAAGCGCTGTAATTACAAAAGAAATAGAAGTTAACCTAGTGAGGTGCATAAATTAACATTAATTAATATCGAAAACAAATTACAAAAGGATTTGATTTCTTTTGAGTTGTATTCGAGAACGTTATTTTTTGATAACA